AGCTATCACTGTCATTGCTATTACTATTATTATCATTAATATCTTCATCATTATTATTTCCATTATCATTATCACCATTATTATTTCCATTATCATTATCATCATTATTATTTCCATTATCATTATCATCATGACCGTTATCATCATCAATACCATTATCATTATAGTCATCACTACCAATATTGCCACTGCATTTTTTTTCATTTAATTTTTTATCTTTCCGCCCCTTGTCACCTTTATTAATGATTCTGTTTAGGTACTCCATCACTGTAACAAGCAAAACCATTTATCATCAATACAACTGTTCTATTTTTTTATGATTGACGATTTCAGTATTATCCTTAGTTCGGTGATGAAGTTATTTTCTGTGTGGATTTGTATTGTAAATATTCGGAAATGTGCATGGCAGTATTGGGCAATATATGTCTATTAAATAACGTGTCTATTTATATTTATGTTTGTAATATGTGAGCGCGCGTGTGTGTGGATATATTTTCCACAATATAATATGTGGTGTGTGTAAGTCTTCGTACGTGCATGTATGTTTGTCAGTCCGTTTGATCCCTACAATGTATACATATATAACAAAAGAATGAATACGTATATGAATAAAGGTAATATTACATATGAGTTAATATACACAAATAAAGTTAAAAGTTTCTTTTCAAAAATGCTTTAAAAATGGGTACCGAGATAAAAATGAGAAAAATCTATCTAAACATGAATTATGGTCAAATGCTGGTTTAGAGGAAGGGAGGGGAAGATGGTAGAAGAAGGGGGAAAGAGAAGAAAAGAGGATCAAGAGAACTGATTGAGGAAGGAGAGGGCAGACATGTGTCACAGAAGGTCAGGCGAAGGCGGTCACACATGGTCAGGTCAGGTCATAAATTTTAAGGGGAAAAAAGGGGGAAGGGGTGAGAGAAGTCTTGACCGGAACTGTCTGACATATTGTGATGAAAGGATAGTGCCATAAAAATGGGACCTTTATGACGTATGGCGATAAGGTTGAAAGTGTTTTTCTCTCTCCTCGGGACGGGGTGAGGTAGGGGGGAGGGTAGGCGTAGAGGGAGAAAGGAAATAGAGGGAGAGGAAAGGGAAGGATGAAGTGGAGAGGACAAGGGGGTGAGAGGGGAGGGATGATGGTGGAAAGGGAATGAAAAAATGAGGGGAAGAGGTAAGGAAAAGGTGAGGGGAAAAGGGAAGGAGAGGATGAGCGGTATAGGGAAAAGAAGAAAGAAAGGGAGACGTAAGGAAGGAAAAAGAGAGGGTAAAATGTATGGAAGGAAAAGAGAATAGGGAATAAAGAGGGGGGAGATGTGGAAAGAGGAAGGGAAAAGAATAAGGGAAACTAAAAGGAGGAAGGGAGACGGATGTAGGAGGAGGGAGAAAGGTTAAACTGAGAGTAAGACAGAGGAGGGGGAGATGGACAAGGATGCGAAGAATAGAGAAGAGCTGGGGGGGAGGGAGAGAGAAAGGAAGAGGGATAAGGGGAGATTTAAGAGGAGGGAAAAAGGGAGGGAGGGGGGAGATGAAGAAAGAGGGAGGGGAACGCGTCCAGAGTTGACGTAACAGCTGATTAACCACCAACGGAAGTGAGGGGTCAGACCTCCCCTCACTCACTCTTTATGGCCTATCGTGCCTTTCAAAACAAAAAAAAACTAACAGTAATAACAAACGGGAAAAAGTGGTACGTGTTGTAACGAAAACAGGGTTAATGCGTGCTTATATGTCAAAGATGTTATGTGATATGGGGTGAGTGTGTGTAAGCGTGTGTGTGGGGTGAGTGTGTGTAAGTGTAAGTGTAAGTGTAAGTGTGTGTGTGTGTGTGTGTGTGTGTGTGTGTGTGTGTGCGCGTGTAGCGGGCGGGGAGGGGGTATGCGCTTGTGTGCATGTTTGTGTAAGCGTGTGTGTGTGTGTGCCATGTGTCCATGTGCACCCTTACTTACTCACGCGCACATAGCTGAAAAATGAACAGTAAGTATACACAAGTCTGACCTCAAAATCATAAATGAACCTTTAGTCATAAACATCAAATGTTTTGAAAGCTGACAGACAGAAGAGAAGGAGAGAGAGAGAGAGAGAGAGAGAGAGAGAGAGAGAGAGAGAGAGAGAGAGAGAGAGAGAGAGAGAGAGAGAGAGAGAGAGAGAGAGAGAGAGAGCGCTAGAAAATATACAAAAGAGAAACGACGAAAATGTGATGATAAAGAGAGACAAAAAGATAAAGAGAGAGAAAACGCAAGATTTTTTAAAATAAGAAACTAAAACATACACGAAGATAATTAGAAAGTGAAGAGATTTTATTTCTTTAAGATCCTCCCAAATTTTTCAAATTTACTTTTATGTCTCATCTCTCCTCATTTCTTTCTTTTTGCTTTTTCTTTTATTTTTCTCTCTTTTTTCTGTTTTCCCTTTCTTTGCTTCGTAACACTATCATCACCCAATATACCCGCGATCAGCTGACAAGAGAGTGTGTAGAAAGAGTTGGAAAATAACCCTTACCGATGTGCCCCAGAAGGACCAATTTCCCATGTCTCCATGAAGCTTCTAATCTATTAACACGTGGGCAGCTTCTTCTCTTGACTTTTTTGTTTGTTTGTTTGTTTTAAATATTTATCTTCCTCCTTTTTAATATATTTAGTCATTTCGGTTTTGTTTTCGACTTGTATGTGAGAATATAAAAAAATAGTAGGTATAATATAAAAAATAAGTATCATAATGACTATAATTATTATTATCTTTATTTATTATTATTGTTAATACTATTATTATTTATTATTAATATACTATCATTATCATCATCCTTATTATTATTGTTGTTATTGTTATTATTATTATTATTATTATTATTATTATCATTATCATTATCATTATCATTATCATTATCATTATCATTATCATTATCATTATCATTATCATTATCATTATTATTATTATTAGCATTATTAGCATTATTAGCATTATTACTATAATGATAATAATATTAAGCTTCATCGTCGTTATCATCATTATCATCTTCAAAATCATTATTACTGTTATCATTATTATCATGGACATCATTATTATTATCATATATCATTGTCTATAATAGGAAGAAAAATGATAAGAAGAAAAGAATGAAAGTGCAAACCAAAAGTAACAAAAATTAAATGAATAAAATGAAATAAAAAAAGGAAATAAAAAAACGCGTTATTTCACCATTCACGCGATTCACTTCCGGTAACATGCCTGCAATTTTTTTTTATTATTACGATGAAAGGGAGGAAAAGGGGAGGAAAGAAGAAGGAAAGAGGGGGAAGGGAGAGGGGGAGAATAAGGAAAAAGAGAGAGAGATGGGGAGGGAAAAGGGAGAGAGTGAGTATGAAGTTTATTTTGGAAGTTTGTCCTGTTTTCACTCTTCGCTTGTTTTTCTTTTTCTTTCTTTCTCTTTTCACTTATCACTGTACTTAAGTTCTCGTTGAGTGAGTGAGAGAGACAGACAGAGACAGACAAGATTCAAATAGACAAACAGATAGACAGACAGACAGACAGACAGAGAGATGGGTAGATAGACTAAGAGACAGACAGACAAAGAGAAAAACAGACAGAGAGACAGAAACATAGGAAATGTGGAACAGATGGTATGTAGTCATATCTAAATTCCTATCTTAATACCTACAAATATTCACCATGCAACATATACACTCACCATGCAACATATACAATGACAGTGCAGCATATACACTCACCATGTAACAAATGCACTTACCATGTAACATATATACTCACCATGCAACATATACACTCCCCATGCAACATGTACACTCCCCATGCAACATATACACTCACCATGCAACATATACACTCACCATGCAACATATACACTTCCACTGCAACATATACACTCACCATGCAACATATACACTTCCACTGCAACATATACACTCACCATACAACATATACACTTCCACTGCAACATATACACTCACTATGCGACATACTGTATCTTCTTTTATAAAGCGATCGAATATCCATTTGATTATCTACAAGTTCTATTCAATCTAAATTAACGACTTTAATTACTCTCTTGTCCTGTTTCACTCGTTCGCTTAATGAAACTTTCCGTGGCCAAGAATTTTGAAACAATGATCGTAATCTAAAGCACATGGTTTGTGGTCCAAAGTAGCGTAATCGGCTCGGTTTTCAGTCATTATCGTCTTCGTCGCGAAATTGTTCATCTTGACTAATGTAATGCATAAAAAACTCTATACGTTTTTGTATTAGTGTGTGTGTGTGTGTGTGTGTGTGTGTGTGTGTGTGTGTGTGTGTGTGTGTGTGTGTGTGTGTGTGTGTTGTAGGTTTTACGTATGATAACAAATATTTACGATGTTGATTTCTTTGGTAAGAATACGCATATTGAAGTTTCATGCTTAATAACGATGACTGAAATCAGATAAAGGAGAGAGAAAAATAAATTCGGTAGTATTGGTTGCTGAGGTCAGTGAAATTGTCATTACTCCGTTAATGGCCAATAAAACTTTCTTGGACATTCCCGAAAAAGTGGATGCCATCTACTGAAAAAAACTAACTTTAGGAATAAAAATAGCAAAGTTTTACCAAGTTGCTAGTCACGAGTGCATTCAGGAAAAGGAATTTTGTTTTCGAATGTTACGCCTCAGCTGTGAATCTTACGTTAGGGTTGTCTATTAAAATTGCGTGCTTTGATGTTATGCCGATTTTCAGCGCATACCGGGTTATTTGTAGACAGAAGCAAGGCAATTGTTTTTATTTTCTTTCTTCGTTTTTCTTTTTTTTTGGGGGGGGGGGGAAGGAGGTAAGGAGAGGCCAGAAGCTATTGCCTTCTTGGCCGATAGTATTTCGTCAGCATTATTACTAACCAGTTAATGTCCTTGTAGCTTTTGTAGCGGAACACGTAAATAGTTTAATAAATCTTTAACCACAATGATATCCCACAACCCATTTATTTCTACATCTCATATAACTCTAACTTATCGTGCCCCCAGAGTGCTGATCCTGGCGGTGCACAGTTGCGCGCGCCGCCGCCAGATGGCCGCCGAGGAGAAGCAGACGCGCGACCTGCCGAAGGACGACCACCACGTCACCAAGATCAAGCGCGAAGAAGAATGGTGACTAGGTCTTGGCTCCTCCTCCTGCATCACCTCGCCTCCTACGCGCATTTGGGAGACCAGAGACTCCTCGGGGGCGGTCATCTCCACTCAGTGGGAGGTGTCGACGGACGCCCTCGCCCGCAACGGGAAGCACGCCAGCTGGGAGGAGTCGACGGCCTTCCGGGAGGTGTCTGCCGGCGGTCCTGGGCGCTTCAAGGTGTCCAGGGTGTGACGGGGACGCTGCACACACTGCCACACACACCACACGCTTCCCTTCGCTTCTTTTTGAACACGCCCTTGCTCTGTTCGCTTTTCTTTTCTTCGATTTTCTTTCTTTCTCTCTTTCCTTCTTTTATTTTAGTTTTAGTTTTCTTTGTTTCTTCTTCGACTTGTCTTCCTTTCAGTATTTCTCTCCTTCTGTATTCAGGTTAGGCATTTTTCCTAACAGATCTCACCGCGCGTTTTTCTTTATTTTCTTTTTTTATTCTTTTTTTGAGAAGGAGGAGTCACAAGAGCTTTTTTTTTTTACTAAAAAATTCCATATTAGAATTATCATTATATGATAGACTAGATTATTATACATATCTCAGCGACAGTTAACCCCGTGAGAATTACCAAAAAAACACCTCAATATCACAAGTTATTTTTACTTATTATTCTCGCGCGGTTTCTGTTCCAGCACTGTTCACTTATTTTAAACGTAGTGTAGTTTATATTGATTTTTTTTCACAAGTATACAAGTATACCAGATATGTAAATGTACCAGACGCGTATGTATATAGAACAGGGATTCCTAAAGTTTGCAAAAGGGTATGCCAATTGTAATAAATATTTTCCATTTATGAGTTCGAAGTCAGAGGGTAAAGATTTTTTTCCGCTAAAGGTAAGATGATCAAGTAACAGAGAATGACTTGAAAACTAAAAAAAAAACGGGAAATTACAACCAGTAGGCCTATACTTTTTTGAGACTTTTTTATTTTTTGGAATCGCTGGTTATAGACATTTAAAAAAAAGGTCGTGTTGGGAGTGCATACATTACCAGCTTGTGTATATATAAACAGACAGACGCAGAAGATAGCCCCACGTGTACTGGTATTAGACTTAACCCAACCGCCCCGGATTTATGTTCTTCACCTGTATTTTTTGTGAATTTTGTTACATACAGATGGCTCCACATGCGCTCAGCCGGCAAGGAGTCTATCAGTAGGCCGTAGTGACCGATCCTAATTTCCCCATTCCTTGAATTGGCCGGAAAATGTGTTTTTCTTTATAAATGCAATTGATATCGATACTGTTATCATTTTTATCGATGTTATGATTTAAGACAATGAAATAATGCAAAAGACTCTTTCCGAAAGTCGAGGAAAAGGGTAAGCAGGTGAGATAGGTAGGAATAATGACGGTCTCTTTGGTGACTAAGCACTTGTAGAGCCATCTATGTGTAAATACAATGAATAAATTTGTATTACAGTGGGCATGGCATGTGTTCTTGTCATACGTGCCGATTGGGTTAAAACTAAACGCAGAAAAAGTGTACATACAAAACCAGATCGGGAGGTAATATTGTAGTAACGAGTTGTATGTGAGAGAGCCGGGAGGAAGTGCCTTGTTTAATTCTTATAGTGTAAGACTTTGTATTTTTATTCTGAACGTTTCTTCTACCCCCCCTTTTTCTTCATCTCGAAACACACGTCTACACAAAATGTCTTCTCTTACATACACTTCAATAAAAAAAAAAAAATGAATACAAAAAAATATATAAAACATTATAAAACAAAAGTGATGATAAAAAAAAAAAAACTTTTATACAACAGCTTCATTTTTTTACGTGTAAATGTGAGTGTAAATATTAATACGTGAACACTGAGCCTTGTATGTTGAATGTCCTAATTTTGCAAAAATTAAAATGTCTTTTGTATTGTAACCATTCCCTCTTTTCACAAGATCCGAATTATACCCCCTCTTTTTAAGCATTTGATTTATTTTTATTATTTCTGAATATTTACCTTTCTTTTCTTAGCACACCCTTCCTTGTATTATGATTCAGTATATGATGAGTATGTTTTATATAATGTTTCCTTTTATGTTTAGATGTATTAGTGTCTTTATACTAATAAGGAAATAAAACATTATCCAAGTAATATCTTACATTATGAAAACTTTTTTAAATCAAATATTATATCAGCATTTTGATATTATTATTGTTCTTGTAATTGATATTATGTCTATAATTAACAGAATTTTTGTATGAAAAGCATTACCATCACTTTTATATTCAATTCTTTTGGTTTTACAGCAATCACTGTAACTTCATAATTGATCCAACCATCACAATCATATCACTGTTATCACCGTTAATAAAATCCAGATATCTGTTTTTCCTTTGCAAAATTCGATACCACTTTCCTTTTTTTTTTACATACATAACAGTAGGACGACAATAGGGCACCGTCATGTACTTACTCTGTTAGACCTTTATATGTTGATAAGTCTGCGTGTCGATATCCCGAGTGTTGGACTTGTTAGTACCTAATTCAAAGCATAAGTATTTAGCCTCTAGTCTTAATTGTAATTTATGAATAAATAAAGTGGACAAAAGATATGTTACCTGACTTTTTATTCTCTTTGACTGCAGTGGGTATATGGGCATACAATAATGGGTAAGTTTGTAGTGACAGCGAGTGTGAAGGACAGCTGTCTGAGCAACTGTCTGATATGTACGTACATGTATATACTGTATAGAAGTATATGTGTGTATGTCTATCTGCCTATCCATCTTTTTCCCTCCTCATATTTATATATACATACATACATACATATACATATATATATATATATATATATATATATATATATATATATATATATATATACATATATATATATGTAATACACACACATATATATAATATATATACATGTGTGTGTTTATAAAGAAAGAGAGAGAGAGAAGCAGAAAGGAACAAACAAGTAAATAGGAGATAGATAGACAGACAAAAATAATATAGAGAGAAGGTAGACAGACAAAGAAAGAGATTTTAAAAAAATAAACAGGACTCAGACAGACAGACAGACGGTGAAAATAACAGACAGACTGAGAAAGAGACAGGCACAGGGACTAAAGACAACCACTCCTTCCCACAGATAGAGAACCACCACAACTGATATTGTTATTGTTGCATTAATCTCCTCTGAAGACGGGCATCCTACTGCACGTGTCGGCGAGGGCGGGAGGCGAGGAAGAGGCGAGGGGGGGGGGGACAGTAGGATAGGCGTGGCAGCTGGATAGGGCGGGAAAAGTGTGGCTCCTGTTAGCCTGAGGAACACTCGGGCGCCAGGAGGGTGCTTGAGAGGATGTCTCGTGTGGTCTTGGATTTTAGTTGTTTTTGTTGTTATTATTTTGGGTTTGGTTGATTTGAATTTTATAGATGGTGAGAGTTCGTTTATGTTAATTTCTTTATATATATATGTAGATAGATAACAATAGATAACAATAACAATGACCATAAAATGAGTAAGAAAGCAAAAAAACACTATCTCCCTCAAAGAAAAGAGAACAGATAATGTTTTTTCTTATTTTCGTAAACAGTAGCCGTCCATAACGGAGTAACTTTCTTTAGACAATGATGCTGGAAATGTCATTACCAAGGTGGACGAAGCAGGAGAGAAAGAGAGGAATCGAAGATTGGGTTAAAGAGAGAGAAAAAAAAACGAGACAAGAGCTATTACGAAAATAGACAAAACAGAGATTTGGATAAATATAGAAACTGACACACAAAGAAGAAAAAAAGGCTGAGAAAACAAGCGAAGGAAGAAGATTAAAAAAGACATATATATATATATATATATATATATATATATATATATATATATATATATATATATATATATATATATCAGAGAAAAAAAATACAAGGAAAAACAATACAACAAAGATAGGAGAAAGACAAACAAAAATACAAAGAATAAAAAAATACATACATAAGAACAGGAAAGACAAACAAACAAAATACATCTCAAAAGAGACACAGAACAAAGAACAATCAAATACCCCCCTCCCCCAGCCCACCCGACTCTCCCATTAAAAAAAAATAATAATAATAATAAATAATAAGAAATAAAACATCCAATATAATCTTTAAAAAATCTAAAACCAGATTACACACAACTAACAATGAATAAACAGACAAACAACATAATAAAAACAGACATGCAAATTACTAGTTCGTGGAGTGTGTGGCAACCAGGGCCCCACGCTACTCAGGAGGTGTAACGTACACTTAATCGACATGAAGATAGACATGAGGGTGTTGAGGCAGGTGGGTGGGAGGGGGGGGGGGTGAAATTATGTTCTTGTATTGTATTTTGGTAAGGGTGTGGGTTGGGTAGGAGTGGGAGTTTGGGTTACGTGTGTATGTGTATGTGTGTGTGTGTTTATCTTTATCTATCTATCTATCTACCTCTATTTCTATCTCTCTCTCTCTCTCTCTCTCTCTCTCTCTCTCTCTCTCTCTCTATATATATATATATATATATATATATATATATATATATATATATATAACATATATACATACCCTACTCTTCTCTTATATCACCCTTCATCTCTCTTTCTTTCTTCCTTCCATCTTTCTTTTTCCCTGTATTCCTTTATATTTTCCCCCCTTTTCCTTTCTTTCTCTCTCTCTCTCTCTCCATCTCCCTTTCTTTCTTTCTTTTCTCTTTTTCTCCATATTCTTCCCACTCCTTTTCTCTTTCTTTTCCTCTCTCTTCTCCCCTCCATCTTCCTCCCTTCCTGTCTCTCTTTCTTTCCCTCTCTCTCTCTTCATCTTCCATCCCCATCTTCCTCCTCGTCTCTCTCTCTCCCTCCTTCCTTTCCTCTACTTCTTTCTCTCTTTCTCTTTTTCCTCCTCCCTCCCCCCCTTCCCTCTCCATCACCCATTCCACTTTTCTCTCTTTCTTGCCCTGTCTCTTCATCTTCCTCTCTTCTCTCTCCCTCTCTTTTTATTTTTTCTCTCTCTCCCTTCATCTCTCTTTCTCTTTTCTCCCTCTCTCTCCCTCTCTCCTTCTTTCCTTTCCCAACCCTCTTACTCTCGGGCTTTTGACCAGCGGCGGAAAGACAACGTAGAAAATAAGCTTCTAAATTAACTCTTTGGCACTGGTCTGGCACTGCGTCTCCCTTCGTGTTCTTTCTTTTACCTCGCTCCCTCACTCCCTCACTCCTCTTCCCTCGCTCCCTCACTCCCTTTCCCTCGCTCCCTCACTCCCTCACTCCCTTTCCCTCACTTCCTCACTCCCCTTCCTCCACTCCCTCTCCTCTTCCCTCGCTCCCTCACTCCCTTTCCCTCACTCCCTCACTCCTCTTCCCTCGCTCCGTCATTCCTCTTCCCTCGCTCCCTCACTCCCCTGCCCTCGCTCCCTCACTCCCTTTCCCTCGCTCCGTCATCCCTCTTCCCTCGCTCCCTCACTCCCTTTCCCTCGCTCCCTCACTCCCTTCCCTTTTTCTCTTTAGCGCTTTCTCCTACTTTTTCTTTCGATAAATTTTCAGAGGAAAGAGATATCGAGAAATGAGTCCTTTGTTCCGTTTCTTTACATAAGCACCTTGGTCTTGTCTACTACTTTTCTGTGTGTGTGACACTTCTCTTAACTTTCTAGAATTCTGTTAGTGATTTCTAAATTTCCTTTCCAAGAGAGAGAGAGAGAGAGAGAGAGAGAGAGAGAGAGAGAGAGAGAGAGAGAGAGAGAGAGAGAGAGTGGAAGAGGGAGAGGGGGGGGAGAGAGGGGGGGCAGAGGGGAGATTAATTACTTCTTTCTTGAGCAGCAGATACAAATATATACAGCCACACAGTCAGATATATATGTAGATAGATAGATACTGTAGATAGATGGACGGAGAGAGAGAGAGAGAGAGAGAGAGAGAGAGAGAGAAGAGAGAGAGAGAGAGAGAGAGAGAGAGAGAGAGAGAGAGAGAGAGAGAGAGAGAGAGAGAGAGAGAGAGGCAGACAGACAGACAGACAGAAAGACAGACAGAAACAGATAGAGAGAGAAAACCTAGCCAAACAAAAACTGAAAAGCGAGAGAAAAATAGATAAATAAATAAACAGAAAATATTGACAGTATTCGCCAACTCACCAATCCGCTAATAGTTTTTGAACCAACACACGTCCATTCCAAATAAGTTCATTAACACCAGTAGGCAAATATCCAAGGAAACCAGTTGTCGACGCTTCATGACCTCCGGGGCCTGGGAAAGTGAGGGGAAAGGGGGGGGGGGGGTGAAAAAAAAGGAGGATGGAAGATGGGTGGGTGGAAGGGAGGAAGAGATGGAAGGTGGAAGATTGAGAAGTCGGTGAGGGGGGGGAGGAGAAGAGTGAGGGGGAAGAGGGGAGAAGGATATGAGGGGAGTGTGCAGAAAGAGGAAATGGGAAGGGGGAAAAGGATTTAGAACATTAAAGAAGGAGAATGACGAAAGTGGAAAAGGGAGGGAGACGAAGAAGGAGAATGACGAAGGTGGAAAAGGGAGGGAGACGAAGAAGGAGAATGACGAAGGTGGAAAAGGGAGGAAGACGAAGAAGGAGAATGACGAAGGTGGAAAAGGGAGGGAGACGAAGAAGGAGAATGACGAAGGTGGAAAAGGGAGGGAGACGAAGAAGGAGAATGACGAAGGTGGAAAAGGGAGGAAGACGAAGAAGGAGAATGGAGTAGAGCATGGAGTAGTGAGGGGAAGATTAGAAGAAGGGAGACGATGATAAGAGGAAAGAGGAAAGGAGAAAAAGACGGTAAGATGGGAAAGGGGAATTTAAGAGACGGAGGAAGGGAGGGCTAGGAGATGATGAATATCAGAGAAAATAGGGAAGAGCAAGTGGAAAGTAAGAGAAGGAAGGGAGAAAGGGAATAGGAAGAGATTATAAATAGAATGGAGGGATAAGATGGGGGTGAGGGAAGAAGGGAATAGGATGAGGGAGGAAAGGAAGAGAGAAGAAGAGGGAGAAAGTGTGGAAGAGGAGAGGAGACGGTAAAGAGTGAAGGAGAATAGAGGAGGAAGGGGAGAGAAATCGAAGAAGGGGGGAGAAAGCAAGGGATAAGAGAGAGAGAGAAACACGAGGGAGAAGAGAAGAAATCGAGGAAGAAGAGAAGAGTGTGCGAAAGAGAGGAGAGGAGAAGAGAAGCGAAGAGAGGCGAAAGAGAGGAGAAGAGAAGTGAAGAAAGGAGAAAAAGAGAAGAGAGGAGAATAGAGGAGTGAATAGCACACAGCTGGGGAGTACAGGTGGCTGGCTCCCGCACCTTTCAGCGCCACCTGCCTGATGATGCAACAGAGATCAGCTTTATCCAAACTGACTGTTTTCCTCAGTCCTGTTTTCTTTAAGAGTTTAGGCTTATGATATTTGCTGTTTGTTTTTACTTTGTTTCTCTTTCTTTATCATTCGCTCTTTTCTCTTCGTCTCTTTTACTTATTCTGTTTCTTTATGTGTATCTGACTGCCATTCCTTCTCTCTCTCTCTAACTCTCTCTCTCTCTCTCTCTCTCTCTCTCTCTCTCTCTCTCTCTCTCTCTCTCTCTCTCTCTCTCTCTCTCTCTCTCTCTCTCTCTCTCTCTCTCTCT